CTTTGGTATCAGGATGATGTTGGCCTCATAAAATGAGTTAGGGAGGATTCCCTCTTTTTCTATTGATTGGAATAGTTTCAGAAGGAATGGTACCAACTCCTCTTTGTACCTCTGGTAGAATTCAGCTGTGAATCCATCTGGTCCTGGACTTTTTTTGGTTGGTAGGCTATTAATTGTTGCCTCAATTCAGAGCCTGCTATTGGTCTATTCAGGGATTCAACTTCTTCCTGGTTTAGTCTTGGAAGAGTGTAAGTGTCCAGGAAATTATCCATTTCTTCTAGATTTTCCAGTTTATTTGCGTAGAGGTGTTTATAGTATTCTCTGATGGTAGTTTGTATTTCTGTGGGGTCGGTGGTGATATCCCTTGATCATTTTTAATTGCGTCGATTTGATTCTTCTCTCTTTTCTTCTTTATTAGTCTGGCTAGTGGTCTGTCAATTTTGTTGATCTTTTCAAAAAACCAACTCCTGGATTCATTGATTTTTTGGAGGGTTTTTTGTGTTTCTATCTCCTTCAGTTCTGCTCTGATCTTAGTTATTTCCTGCCTTCTGCTAGCTTTCGAATGTGTTTGCTCTTGCTTCTCTAGTTCTTTTAATTGCGATGTTAGAGTGTCAATTTTACATCTTTCCTGCTTTCTCTTGTGGGCATTTAGTGCTATAAATTTCCCTCTACACACTGCTTTAAATGTGTCCCAGAGATTCTGGTATGTTGTATCTTTGTTCTCATTGGTTTCAAAGAACATCTTTATTTCTGCCTTCATTTCGTTATGTACCCAGTAGTCATTCAGGAGCAGGTTGTTCAGTTTCCATGTAGTTGAGCGGTTTTGATTGAGTTTCTTAGTCCTGAGTTCTAGTTTGATTGCACTGTGGTCTGAGAGACAGTTTGTTATAATTTCTGTTCTTGTACATTTGCTGAGGAGTGCTTTACTTCCAATTACGTGGTCAATTTTGGAGTAAGTATGATGTGGTGCTGAGAAGAATGTATATTCTGTTGATTTGGGGTGGAGAGTTCTATAGATGTCTATTAGGTCTGCTTGCTGCAGAGATGAGTTCAATTCCTGGATATCCTTGTTAACTTTCTGTCTCGTTGATCTGTCTAATGTTGACAGTGGAGTGTTGAAGTCTCCCATTATTATTGTATGGGAGTCTAAGTCTCTTTGTAAGTCTCTAAGGACTTGCTTTATGAATCTGGGTGCTCCTGTATTGGGTGCATATATATTAGGATAGTTAGCTCTTCCTGTTGAATTGATCCCTTTACCATTATGTAATGGCCTTCTTTGTCTCTGTTGATCTTTGATGGTTTAAAGTCTGTTTTATCAGAGACTAGTATTGCAACCCCTGCTTTTTTTTGTTCTCCATTTGCTTGGTAAATCTTCCTCCATCCCTTTATTTTGAGCCTATGTATGTCTCTGCGTGTGAGATGGGTCTCCTGAATACAGCAGACTGATGGGTCTTGACTCTTTATCCAGTTTGCCAGTCTGTGTCTTTTAATTGGAGCATTTAGTCCATTTACATTTAAGGTTAATATTGTTATGTGTGAACTTGATCCTGCCATTATATTAACTGGTTATTTTGCTCATTAGTTGATGCAGTTTCTTCCTAGCCTCAATGGTCTTTACATTTTGGCATGTTTTTGCAATGGCTGGTACCGGTTGTTCCTTTCCATGTTTAGTGCTTCCTTCAGGATCTCTTGTAAGGCAGGCCTAGTGGTGACAAAATCTCTAAGCATTTGCTTATCTGTAAAGGATTTATTTCTCCTTCACTTATGAAACTTAGTTTGGCTGGATATGAAATTCTGGGTTTAAAATTCTTTTCTTTAAGAATGTTGAATATTGGCCCCCACTCTCTTCTGGCTTGTAGAGTTTCTGCTGAGAGATCTGCTGTTAGTCTGATGGGCTTCCCTTTGTGGGTAACCCGACCTTTCTCTCTGGCTGCCCTTAAGATTTTTTCCTTCATTTCAACTTTGGTGAATCTGGCAATTATGTGTCTTGGAGTTGCTCTTCTTGAGGAGTATCTTTGTGGCGTTCTCTGTATTTCCTGGATTTGAATGTTGGCCTGCCCTACTAGGTTGGGGAAGTTCTCCTGGATGATATCCTGAAGAGTGTTTTCCAACTTGGTTCCATTTTCCCCCTCACTTTCAGGCACCCCAATCAGACGTAGATTTGGTCTTTTTACATAATCCCATACTTCTTGCAGGCTTTGTTCGTTTCTTTTTCTTCTTTTTTCTTTTGGTTTCTCTTCTCGCTTCATTTCATTCATTTGATCCTCAATCGCTGATACTCTTTCTTCCAGTTGATCAAGTCGGTTACTGAAGCTTGTGCATTTGTCACGTATTTCTCGTGTCATGGTTTTCATCTCTTTCATTTCGTTTAGGACCTTCTCTGCATTAATTACTCTAGCCATCAATTCTTCCACTTTTTTTTCAAGATTTTTAGTTTCTTTGCGCTGGGTACGTAATTCCTCCTTTAGCTCTGAGAAATTTGATGGACTGAAGCCTTCTTCTCTCATCTCGTCAAAGTCATTCTCCGTCCAGCTTTGATCCGTTGCTGGCGATGAGCTGCGCTCCTTTGCCGGGGGAGATGCGCTCTTATTTTTTGAATTTCCAGCTTTTCTGCCCTGCTTTTTCCCCATCTTTGTGGTTTTATCTGCCTCTGGTCTTTGATGATGGTGATGTACTGATGGGGTTTTGGTGTAGGTGTCCTTCCTGTTTGATAGTTTTCCTTCTAACAGTCAGGACCCTCAGCTGTAGGTCTGTTGGAGATTGCTTGAGGTCCACTCCAGACCCTGTTTGCCTGGGTATCAGCAGCAGAGGCTGCAGAAGATGGAATATTTCTGAACAGCGAGTGTACCTGTCTGATTCTTGCTTTGGAAGCTTCCTCTCAGGGGTGTACTCCTCCCTGTGAGGTGTGGGGTGTCAGACTGCCCCTAGTGGGGGATGTCTCCCAGTTAGGCTACTCAGGGGTCAGGGACCCGCTTGAGCAGGGAGTCTGTCCCTTCTCAGATCTCAACCTCCGTGTTGGGAGATCCACTGCTCTCTTCAAAGCTGTCAGACAGAGTCGTTTGCGTCTGTGCAGAGGTGTCTGTGTGTCTTAGTTTACTGTGCCCTGTCCCAGAGGTGGAGTCTACAGAGACAGGCAGGTTTCCTTGAGCTGCTGTGAGCTCCACCCAGTTCGAGCTTCCCAGCAGCTTTGTTTACCTACTTAAGCCTCAGCAATGGCGGGCGCCCCTCCCCCAGCCTCGCTGCTGCCTTGCCGGTAGATCACAGACTGCTGCGCTAGCAACGAGGGAGGCTCCGTGGGTGTGGGACCCTCCCGGCCAGGTGTGGGATATGATCTCCTGGTGTGCCTGTTTCCTAAAGCGCAGTATTGGGGTGGGAGTTACCCGATTTTCCAGGTGTTGTGTGTCTCAGTTCCCCTGGCTAGGAAAAGGGACTCCCTTCCCCCTTGCGCTTCCCAGGTGAGGCAATGCCTCGCCCTGCTTCAGCTCTCGCTGGTCGGGCTGCAGCAGCTGACCAGCTCCGATCGTCCGGCACTCCCCAGTGAGATGAACCCAGTACCTCAGTTGAAAATGCAGAAATCACCGGTCTTCTGTGTCGCTGGCACTGGGAGTTGGAGACTGGAGCTGCTCCTATTCGGCCATCTTGCTCCGCCCATCCGGGACTGTTGGCTTTCTATCTTTCAAGGTTTAGAGGTCTTTTTAAGTATGAATTCCCTTGTGATTAGGATCTGACAAAGAAGAAAAGTAATCATTTCTAAATTGAAAATCTGAAGTATCCTTTGTTAACAACTACATTTTTGAACAGCAAGATAGAAAACTCAGATGGTGAGATGGCATTTCCAGCTTAATTAACTTTGGGTTAAAAGTCATAGATAAATAGATTCTCCCCTTAGCATCATCCAGATATACCACATGAACCTCTCTCTGCATTATATACATGATTGGAATAAGCAGTATTCTTTAAAGTGGACAGGCAGCTGATTTCACATATTTCTTTGTGTTCTTTTGCTTACACTCTTCTTATTTTCAAATGAAAATGATTCCCTTTTATTAAAAGCAGATTTGGAAATCAAGAAGGAATAGCCCAGTATATTAGTTTCCTATTGCTGTTGTAACAAACGACCACACATTTAGTAGCTTAAAACATTATCCTTAGAAAACGAATGCAGGAACAGAAAACCAAATACCACATGTTCTTACTTGTAAGTGGGAGCTAAATGATGAGAACACATGGACACGCAGAGGGGAACAACACACATTGTGGCCTATTGGAGGGTGGAGGGTGGGAGGAGGGAGAGGATGAGGAAAAATAACTAATGGGTACTATGCTTAGTACCTGGGTGATGAAATCATCTGCACAACAGACCCCCATGATACATGTTTACTTATGTAACAAACCTGAACGTGTACCCTTGAACTTAAAAACTTTCTAAATCTTCTATTTTTGGAGGTCAGACATATGAAATGGGTTTCCCTGGGCTAAATCAAGGCATTGGCAGGATTGCATGCTTTGTGGAGGTTCTAGGGGAGAGTCTTTTCCTTGTTTTTTCCAGCTTCGAGTAGCTACCTGCCTTCCTTGGCCGGTGGCCTTTTCCTTCATCTTCAAAGCCAGCAGTGGCATTGCTCGGACCCCTACTTTTGTCATTACATCCTCTTCTCTGATTCTGACATTCATGCCTTGCTCTTACAGGGATCCTGGTAAATGCTGGGTCCACCTGTAAATTCAGGATAATCTTCCCATCTCAAGAACCTTAACTCAGTAAGTTAGCCTATTAAGTCCTTTTTGCCACAGGTTTCAAGAATGAAGACTTTGGACATCTTGGGGAAAGTAGTATTCTGGCCACCACACTCAGATGTTACTTATTTAGTTTCTGGTTGTTCACTTTATTCACATAAGTTGTTTTTTTTTCTTCTATTTCTTAGTGCTTTTGTCAGAATGTGACATTCATCTTACGTGGGGTCTTAGTGGGTTTCTGGCAAATATATCTCTTCTAACGGTGAGTAGTATGATTCATTCAGTTATCTCTCCATTTTCATTATTCATTCATGAAGCTGATATTTACTGCCTATTTGAGGCATCCTGCTGGGTAAAAAGAAATGTATCAGTGATGAGTCACATCAGGATTCTTTAGAGGCAGACTAGTCGTTCTTTTTAAATGACTGCAAATTAGTTCTAAGATACAACATAGGATAAAAAACCATTACTCCCAGTTCCTTTGATTTGTGAAGTTACCAAGGTTACAATGATAAAGGGAAGACAGCCTAAGTAGATGTTAAAATGTTAGGTTAAGAAAATAAACTAACACTTTACCATGAACCTGAAAAAAAAATCCTTATTAAACATCTGTGTGTTACCTTTTCAGTGCCATCATTGATGGAAAACTCATTTTTTAAAAATTAAGTATTTCATGGGAAAATCAAATAAGACAATCCAATATGAGGTAGGCCTTCTGACATCAGTAATTTTCAAAAAAATAAAAAGCAATGCTACACAGAAAGAGGAAGGAGTGTATTTTGTTTGTAGCTCAATACAAGACAAACATTTAATTTAACATTTCATGAACTCTATTTGTAAGTTTCATACAGAAAGTTTTTTAAATATGCTTTGATATACTGTACAATGCAATAATGTTTTCTAAAGGACCTAATGAATTTTGCAATGTTCTATGTGTGTTGAATTTAATAAACAGAAATCTATGAGGAACTTTGAATCTTAAAGGTGACTGTTCAGTAGTTCTGCAGAAATTCTTTGAGTTTCAATCAAATGTAAACTGACTGAAGCACCTTCTGTGATAAAACTGAAGCTCTGCACTTTCTGTTCCTTTCAAGCAAGTAGCTTTGTCTTCTAGTAACTCCCCTAAAAGCTTCCAGTTCAATGGATGAACTTCTTCTTTTACTTCACTAAGAAAAGGTCAAATTCTATTTTCTCCTCCAATCACCTCTCACCACTTACAAGCACTGCGATGCGGGGTGAGTTATTGAAAATTCTATTTTACCTTGAGATGCTGCAGTTAGTGCTTTTAAGGCTTCTAATCAGAGCTGGCACTTTTCTGTCCCTGCTGATTCTTTTACTGCTGAAATTATTTCTCCTTTATTCTAGGTGTTTAAAGCAGTCTCAGAAAGGTTTCCCTCTGAATCTTCATGTATATTTACATGTTACTGTCTGAGCCTATCTTATAATGGATTGATCTTAGGATTGTTTCTATTTGGTGAAATGGTAAAAATATGAAATAGCTCACCATAAAATAGTGTAAGAGGATATCATCAAAGATACATACTCAGCACCTAGTTGGCTTAGAGAAAAAAGTGCCACGAGTATGCAAAGTTATTTTATTAGATAACGTATACATAACATGTAAAGGTATGTGTATATGTTTGCATGTGTTATATATGTGTGTATATGTGGGTGTAAATGCAATGTCTGCAAATTGTTTGCATTTCAACATAGCTTCCTTTGGGGATGGACAAGGAAGATTGAGATGGTATTTATGACTCCACTATTTAAACATTTTGGTTAAACACATTTCTCTTTTTTTAACATAGGTAATTGTGACATCAATAATGTTAATTTAGGGGTTTGGTGAGTTTAGCTTAAGACACCTATTTGTAAGGAATCCTTACTATTCAAAATAATTGACAACAATTAAGTCTATGGCAATCGATTGATAGTAATGCTTTAGTTTTGGTCACAATCATTAAATAGCCTCATGTTTGCTATAAGAAAATAATCACATGTTCCAGCATAAAAATATTTCAATTCTTTCTAAATCAGCTAAATGTTACATTAATTATTTAACAGATGACACATATGGAACCAAATTTTAAACATTTAGCTGCATTGAATTATGAAATTATGAAGTCATTCTTAATCTAAACCCATTCATTTATTCATTCTTTATTAGAAAACTCTTCCTATAATGCACTCCAAATGCTGTCATGGAATTGCAACTTTTCTAGGAGATAGGAATAATTTTATGGCTCCGCAGCATTAACTGGATAAAGTTTGCACAGTCTCAATTACAGTACAGGCTGAGCTTCCATTTCTGTTGTCCTCTACTTTATATTGACTTCCAAATACATTGAAGAAACAAAGCAAAAATAAATATATGAAAGTAACTGAGACATAGAAAAAATGTTAATAGGCGACCTTGTGTAGACATTCTTTAAATACCTGCCTGAGATCTGTCCTTAAACTGTCAAGATGGTAAGTAAACCAGTACGTTTACTCACTGTCTCAATACTGAGTTTATTCTGACAAAAACTTCCAATGATAATTTATATAAGCCTCACTGTGACAAGGTTCATATAAATATATTACTGTGATTCTAATGTAATGTCATGACTGTGATGTTATTTTAAAGAGAAATTCTGGAACATGTGAGTTCAAAGACATGCTGAAATCTATTCCCTCCTCTTGTGTCATGAGCTCTGGCTTCCAATGAGACACAGTTATTTAGATGAAACCTGGGGTCATGTGGTCAATTGTCAGGTTATTTAATAATATATATTTAGGAGGTATTTCATAGTATTCAAAGAAGAATAGAATTAAAATCCGAGGATTTTGTTTCTAATCTAGATCTGTCACTTATTGACTTATATAGTCATGGTAGTTGTCTAAGGTTTCATCATTTCTAAATCAAGAGGCTGTACTCAGTGACCAGTTTACTTGATATTAGTATAAATTTTATAAGCTTGAAAAGCATAGCTAAAAGAAACTATTAGTCTGACTCAGTGATCTCATTCCTTAGTCCTCATTCTTACCCTCACTCTGAGTGCTAGTGCATGTTTGTGTGTGTGTGTACTATAGGCAGTGGCACTGAGGGGCAAGAAAAAGTAAAATAGGCACAAAAGTGAAAAGGCATAATTAATTTTACTTTGTGAAATGAAAGTAATAAACTGTGTCCCATTTTAGCCCTGAAGCTGCTCTTCATTTATAAAATATGGATAACTATGACCCATAGAGCTTAATGAGTAACAGAAGAAATTGTGTATGCCAAGTATTTACTACACTACAGTGACTTGATAGAGATGTTCTTGAGCATTGAATCATTACGATATTGCACACTCTCACCCTTTAAGGCAAGATAGGCAAGGGGTGATCATTGTCATCTTGGAAATATTTGGGGTTTAAATAATCAAAACATAAATGGGACTCCTTTATATTATTTCAGACATCCAAGAAATAATATGGTCATGGAAGATTAAAATACAAATAGCCTATGCTCAATTTCAGTTTAATCTGTGAGCTAACCTCTTACATGTTATTGCAGCCTCTAGTGAGTAATGAGTATTAACATCGGAGTGATTTGAAAACCACTGATTCCTTGACTTAAACTTTCTGAGAATAAATACAGAATTAATTATAAGCAGTGTTAAATGACAGGGTAAGGAAATGGCCTGTAGAATACCACCCCTGAAATGTCAAAAAGGTGGTAAATTTCCTTTTCTACGTAGTCCAATAAAAAACTCTCCCTACACCTCATTTTTAATTGACAAGAATCCCTTCTTCATCTACAAGTACTCTTCATTGATTCTATAATCTATTTCCAAGGATCTAACCATAGAAATTTTTACTTGAACCATGAATGATTAATTTATGTCAGGGTATTGTTTTCAGAGCATTTTGACGATCTATTAACATTCAGGTTAACACAGGTTACCCTAGCAGCTCACCACTCACATGTTACTTGCAGACTATACTACTGTCATTTTGAGTACTAAAGAAGGTCCAGGGTAAATAAATGAAAATGGAAAGAAAAAATCTTTCAAATATATAGGTACTAAGAAGATCAGACAATGTTTAGAAATAAAAGTGTTGAAAGATATGGTGAATGGGGGAATGTAGCTGAAGTCTAGAAGTAAATAGGTAAATCCATAATGAAAAAGGACATTCTATTTGTGGAGATACCTTAAAGGATTTTTAAAAAATGGTAGTGAGGTTTGAAGGTCCTACATCATGTAGAAACCCAGAGACCGACTAAAAATATAAATTGATTAAATAATTTTAAGTAACATTAAGAATATTATATACATAAGTTGTTAAGAGGAAGCCAGTTGGATTCAGGGCATGTTTCTAACGTTTTGAGATCAACAGTGTGGTGAATGACCATTGTGTTCCATCACAAAACGTCTTCTGACAACACCGTCAGAAGGACATGTTTACCCCACATGGCACTGCTTATGTCTTTAAGTTCCTTGACTCCTCCTTTGTTGCTATGGTTTGAATGTTTTTGTATATTCTAAAACTCATGGTGAAATTTAATAGCCAAGGTAACAGTATTGAGTTGGGGCCTTTAAAAGCGATTAAACCATGAATTAATAAATGTTGTAGTAAGAAAAGGCTTAGGGGAGTGCACACTCTTTCCTTGCCCTTTTGCCATATAAACATGAAGCCTTCCTTCCCTCTAAAGAACATAGTATTCAAGGCATCATCTAGGATCAGAATTGCCAAACCTGCATTGATACTGCACTTCCCAGCTTCCAGAACTGTGAGCCAGTAAATTTTTATTCTTTGTAAGTTGCCCAGTCTATGGTGTTCTGTTATAGTAGCATAAATGGGATATTACATTCACTCTTCTCTACATGGTAATATTTTTAGATTACCTATAGCCTCATTTATCATCTCTGATTCCTTTCTCTTCATAGTCCTGACAAAAGAATGCATAAGATTTTGTAATTGATCCAAAGACCAGTATTATCAAGAAAAAGTTCATGGAAATGGTTATAGGCAAGCTCTATTGCCAAATTTAATTCAGTGTAGCATATTTGATCTATACTTATGTCTGTATCTATATTGATATCTATATGTCTATGTCTATATATATATATTTATAACCTCTTAACCGTATTGTCAGGAGATCTATTTCTTTGGCTTATGAAGTAAGTCTTGCTAAATTTATCCTAAAAGCTTATATTTTTAATCTGAATTTTTGTTTTTTGTTTTTTGTTTTTTTTTGCATTTCTTCCTTCTATTGACTCTGGCTCACTGAGTGCCTAGGGTGCATCAAAAGACCAGTGTATTGGGACACCTGACATAAGAGTCTGCTGAGTGTGCCAGCAAGGAGCTAATGATTCAGCAGAAATGCCATGAATGATGAAGCCAGACTTGCCAGTTGCTGTGCTTTAGTTTTCCTGTTGACCTTGAGTAAGTTCAGAGTCATCAACAGACGATTAAGCACTTACCTGCTGAGCTCCAAGTGCTCATCTTACCTCATGTGATATGGTAAATTTGGCAAGTGCTCTGTACTACTAGTTTGGCATTTAAGGAAAATCAAACTATAATCATGTTGAATAGCAAACATATTAGGCCTGAGAAGCAAATTTTAGGCTTTAATACATAGAAGGAATGTTATGGTTTATCATTTTGAATCCAGTTAATAACAGTATGAAAAAGACACTATTATTTTTTTAATTTTTACCGATGGAAAAACTAAGAAATATTTTGATAATTTATTCAAGATCACACAGCTGAGCAGAGGTGGGATTTGAACCCAAGCAATAATGATGAGACAGATGATGTTGATGGTTGGGTATCCTTGATAATTGAAAGGGTTTTTGGTCAGAATCTTTTGGAAGAACATTATAATCAGAAGTTGCTGTCTCCTTTCAATTCATCAATGTATTGCTGCAGAGGTTGTAACTAATGCTACATTCCATCGAGGGATCTTATTCCATAAGTTTGTCCTTTAATGTCTGCACAATTTGAAACACTTTGGCACATTTTCATAATATCTACAATGCTAGGTCTGCTTCAGTTTATTTTTATTTTTCTATTTCTCTGTAGACGATTCAACCAGGTTTTCCAGTTTCTTATTTTTTTTTTTAACACTTCTCAGTGGCCTTCAGTGTGTTCTTCCATTTCTTCATGAAGCATGTTGGCAAATCTTTCTCCACCAACTTGTCTTGCTGCCTGAATGATTTTACTAACTCTTCCGCTGATCCCTGGGCAGCCTTTAAAATCATTCCTTACTTCACTCCACCATAAGTTCTTCCAGCAGGCACTTAACAGTTTCTGATTTTAATTCAAAGATTGCAGCTTTGATGAATGTTATTGCCTCAGCAATAGTGAATGATTTCCAGCACTACATTACTTCCAGATTAAGGTCTGTATCAGGTGCTGATCAAATTCCATTACATACCAGGTAGGCGCATATGACCTTGACAATCTTAAGGATGTCCTGATCAACGGACTGAAGCGATGAAGTTATATTTGGAGGTAAAAACACAACCTTGACATTTTCATTTTCACAGCAAACAGGTTAAGGATGGCCAGGTGCATTGTCTAGTATTAATAAGACCTAAAATTCCAACCCTTCCCTGTCCAAGTATTTTTTTACATCTGGAATGAAGCATTGGTGAAACCGTTTCATAAATGAGATATCTGTCATCCAGGCTTTCTGATTATAATACCAGAACATGGGCACACAACTTCTGTTATTTTCTAGAGGATGTGAGTTCTTTACCCTGTACAATACGTGTGGTTTTATCATACGCCTTGCAGCACTGCCTCATAGTACCAGCATTGATCTGTCCTTCCATTTCTGTTGCCCTGGTATTTCCTTTGCACTTTTATGAATGTAGGTTCTACTGGGCATCTTTTTCTGGAAAAGCCCAGTTTCCTTGCAACTGAAGACTTGCTTTAGATGGTATTCTTTCTCCTTAGTCAACTACTTCAACACTGCTGGAAATATGGCAGCAGCTTCTTGATTGAAAAATACAGGCTCTCCAGTAATTTTAATATTTTTCAGTCCAAACCTGTTCCTGAATCTATGTAACTATCTCTGACTGGCATAAATATCTTGGTGTTATTTGCTTTGGGAAATCCCTTGCTGAAGTCTTTCTATAGGCTCAATGCTTGCTGACACAATACATTGCTGTCAGTTAGAACACATTTTCTGTTCACACCTTCCACTCACAAATTTAATGCCTTTTTTTTTCTTTGAGATGAAGTCTCTCTCTGTTGTCCAGGCTGGAGTGCAATGGCTCACTGCAACCTCCGCCTCCTGCGTTCAAGTGATTCTCCTGCCTCAGCTTACCGAGTAGCTGGGGTTACAGGTGCCTGACACCATGCCTGGCTAATTTTTGTATTTTTAATAGAGACAGGGTTTCACCATGTTGGCCAGGCTGGTCTCAAATGCCTTTTTCCTTCTTAGCTAAGCACTTATCATGCACTGAGGCTGTAGCTGTAACTTTTGCAGTTTGAAGTGAAACAGCAAAACTAGCACAGATTTCTTTTTCTCTCTTTAGTTTCACGGATAGAAGATTTGTTCTTACTGTAGATCTTAGCAACATTTAGCCTACAATTTTTTTTTTCATTCCTTATTAAGTCAAGAATTTTTAGCCTTTTCACATAACAGAAGCAATTTACCTATTTTCTTTGGCATATCCGAATTGCCAGCATGACTATTCTTGTGCTTTTGGGCCACTACTAAATGAAATAAGGATGACTGGAATACAAGGGAGCATACAGAGCATGGATATGGTGGACAAAGGGAGAATTCGTTTCTGGAGCAGGATGGAGAATAATGATGTGAGATTTCATCATGCTACTCAGAACACTGTTTGATTTAAAATTTGTAAATTGTTGATTACTGTAACTTTCTACTTAATATTTTTGGACTACAATTGATTGCAGGTAACTGAAACTGTGGAAAGCAAAGCTGTAGATAATGGGGAACTACTGTAGATAGAAGCAAAACAAATACTGAATAAAAATAAGTTCCTGTGATTTAGTCAAAGCATTTCTGATGAGTGTCAGAGAAGACAGTCACATGTTAACAATTGAGGATGAAAGCTGGGCACAGCAGCAAATTATGCTTGCACTTATGACAGGATATTACATTTGCTTCACTTGCTCCTTATGTCTGAGACATATTGAATGTTCCTTAATATGTCTTTGTTCCCCCAAGCAAGTGTGCCTTGACCCAGTTACAGAACATTTGTGGCAATTTTAGATGAAGGGTTGAGAGAGAGGGTCATGGGACGGAGATAGTAACAGAAAATCTAATTTACTTTGTAGATCTTCATGCTTGTTCCAAGACTTCTGGCATAGCATTGATATAGTTTTGCTTAGCCCAAGTCTTTATTTTAGCTTGAGAAATAGCATTTATTAAAAAATAATAGTCTCACTGGGCTGATCTTTGGTGAAAGATTTTATTTGAAAATAGGGATTAATCTAGTCAAACTTAATTCATAAAGTGCTAAAAAAAATAAGCAATAATTATGGACACTGTTCAATTTAACATAAGCAAAATGATGTTATTGGGTTGTGACTTTATGGAAGAGCCCTTGTGAGGTACTTTGGGGAATAAAATACTTTTACTAAAAAAGCAAAAACAAAATCCCATAACCTACTGTTGAAACAATGACGTTGACCCAGCGCAGTGGCTCATGCCTGTAATCCCAGCACTTTGGGAGGCGGAGGCAGGCGAATCACGAGGTCAGACCTCCTGGCTAACACGGTGAAACCCCTTCTCTACTAAAAATACAAAAAAAATTAGCCGGGCGTGGTGGTGGGCGCCTGTAGTCCCAGCTACTCGAGAGGCTGAGGCAGGAGAATGACATGAACCCAGGAGGCGGAGCTTGCAGAGAGCCGAGATCGCGGCACGGCACTGCAGCCTGGGCAACTCCGTCTCTAAACAAACAAACAAACAACAACAACAACAATCTTGTCTCTCATTTTTTTTTTTTTTACTTAAAGTGATCTTAAGTAATTCGCATTTATCTCCAATCTCCAAATAACTACATGTACACAGAATCTTAAGATGGCAAAGAAGATAGAACCTGTGCATTTTGACTTGGAAGATATCACATACAGACACTTACTAAAATTCATACCCTAGCTGAGAAAGCTTCAGAATTGTGCTAAGAAGTGAAAACTGACACTCAAATTGGTAGGCAAAAGAAGTTCACTGAAGTTACTTGTTTTAGGGAGGTAGAAAGTATTTTTCAAATTTTGCTATTCCTAGAATCACCTAAGATTTTGGTAAAAATGCAGATTCTGATTCAATAGGTCTGAGATGGCACCTGAGTCTGCGTGTCAGACTTCCAGGCAGGGGCAGTGCTGCTGGCCTGAGGACCGTACTTTGCATAGGAAGGGACTAGAGGAAAACTCATCTATGCATATCCTAGGATTAAGTCCTTGTTCCATTTATTAGTTGATTTGCCTTGGGCAACTCTGAATCTCTCTGATCTCTTGTTTGCTTATCAATAAAACAGAACACAGAACCTATTTGATAGGAAAAGTAGAAACATAACAAAATATAGGTAATTTTTTTGCATTACCTCTATGAACCATGTCAACCATATGAACCATAACTATAAAAGTAAATGCTATTTGAGATTAAATAAAATTATATATAGCATTATTATTGTTTACAATTTTTGATGGGATGTGGCCATTTTTGGCAAGAATCTGTTGAATTCTTCTAGACACAGGAAAGAGTTGAATTATATATTAATTTGGATGGGAATAACTGAGAGCCATAATAATCACAGACCCTCATCTGGAGCCGTTGTAAAATGTGGATCTGACTAGCAACTCAAGCTTCAACTGGGAACTTGTTAGAAATGCAGATAGTCAGGCCCTCCTCAGCTATACTGAATCAGGGGCAGCCCAGCAGTCTGTGATTCAACAATCCCTCCAAGTGACTCTGATACATGCTAACATATGAGAACCACTGATGAAGGGAAAGAAATTGCAAACCTATGAGGGTTCTGTGGTTGTGGATTTAGGAAACCAGTTCTGGCTATGTGCCCCAAAGTGACCTGATTCCATTCTCTTAGTCTAGCTGTATACATCAATAAATGATTCAGCCCAGAAAGTATTAAATATGCATTACTAATGAAATAGCGAGATGTTAAATAATCAGGAGCCCAGGCAAAAAGTGTGACTGGGATGGATGCAGGGCAGAGATTAATAGAAAAGAGTAATAGGAAAATTTGGTAGAATCTAGGGAGTCAAGGGAAGCTGATCTGAAGATAATTAGATCAGTGGCAAGCATCTGAAATATTTAAAATAAAAATTAACAGGCACAATATATTTTATTTGTAGTTCTCTGCCATATACACAGTAATAAAGTATAAATCGATTATTGTTACTCTGGCAAAGGAAGCTTTAAAAAAAATCACAATTTTCTAACAATA